AGGTGGTTCTAGAATCCAGGCCGGAAGTGCACAGGAGTCGCAGCTTTCGAAGACGATCGTAAAACGCCCCGCGAATTCCTCCATGTTTCCTTCTCCCCACTTCGTGGATCCGTTCGACGTCTAGTTCTCATTCCGGCGCTAGATGAGAAAGTTTAATAATCGTAAGAAAGTCTAACGAATCGTTCTGGAAAAAAAGGAGACAATAAAAACAGAAAAAATTCCGTGCAAAATAGAAAAGATAAACATAACAGGTTCAACATTAGCAAATTCATCATGGTACGATAAAACGGGGAGATACGTAATTTCCATTGAACGTTTTTTGTCATTAAAATGCCGTAGAGATTCGTTGATGATTTTCTGAGCGATACATGGAAGCATAGTACTCGTCGATACGTTCATAATGTTCGAATAAGGTTTGCTTACGTCGCCGCGGCCTCGTCCAGAGAGCAAGGACATTCATTGGCCACAATTCATCTGTCGCGTAATGCTCAACCAATCGTAAATCGGACTGGCACTTTACTTCCGTCGTGAAGCCACGCGCACGTCTATCCTCGTATACTGATCTTTGTGTATAGTGCGCAGGTATTGTACACTCGGGAACAACGTTGGCTTCTTTTGAATAAAAACATATATGCAGACTTGCAAATTTCAAAATTCTGAATTTTTTCAATTTTCTATTCAGTTTTCATATGTTGTCGAATATAAGATTTATTGATTTCTTGATTTTTCAATTTTTCAAGTTTTTAAGTTTTTAAGTTTTCGAATTTTCAAGTTTTCAAGTTTTCAAGTTTTTAATTTTTTAATTTTTCAATTTTTCAATTTTTCAATTTTCCAAGTTTTCAATTGTTCAAGTTTGTATGTTTTCAAGTTTTCAAGTCTTCAAGTCTTCAAGTTTTCAAGTTTTCAAGTTTTCAAGTTTTCGATTTTTCGATTTTCGATCTTTCGAGATTTCACATTTTCGAATTTTTCAATTTTCAAATTTTCAAATGTTTGACTTCGAAATTTTAGATTTTCGAATTTCCAAATTTCTTATTATTCAAATTTTCATGTTTCTTGAATTTTTAATAGTTGTTTATAATTGTTGGTTATAATTGTTTATTGCTTATAATGGTTATCATAATTATTTATAATTGTTTACTGCTTCTAATTGCTATTATAATTGTTTATAATTGTTTATTGCTTATAATGGTAATTATAATTGTTTATAATTATTTATTGCTTACAATTGTTATTATAAATGTTTATAATTGTTTAGTGCTTATAATTGTTATTATAACTGTTTATAATTGTTTATTGCTTATAATTGTTATTACAACTGTTTATAATTGTTCATTGCTTATAATTGTTATTATAATTGTTTCTAATTGTTCATTGCTTATAATTGTTCTTATAATTCTTATTATAACTGTTTATAATTGTGTCTTACTTGTAATTGTTATTGTAATTGTTTATGTTACAACCCTAACTGTCTCACAATAATATATTACGCACAAAATGGCATCAAAATAATATATTACCCAGAAAACTCTCAGTTTATTATTTTCTAAAATAAATCTCTCCCACAACAATTTACAAGTTCCTATGAGAGAACATATACGAGTACAGAATCTACAATAATTAAGAATAGTAATCAAAAAGTGGCAAAAATCCAGCGATCCTTCCGTCCAACAGTACAATTCCATCTCCCGCGATTAGTCCCATAAATTCCAGCGGCAGCGAACGGAGCGTTCGTCATGGTCCGCGGTTCGATCTGGCGGGAAAACATCGTTCCCTGCCTAACCGACACGACCTGGTTATAAATCGCGCGGCGCGAACGAGAAGACATTTTCTCGAAGAGCCGGACTTCTTTTTATTCGTTTCGAAAACGTGTCCCGATACTAGTAGTCGATCAAAGTTCGCGTTCCGGGATTTTCGCGCAGTGGCAAGAAGTTCGAAGTTGTTCGCCGTTTCGCTGTGTGTACGTAAGCAGGCAACGGTGCAACAATGAAGGTAGAAAAGAAGTTGGTTCAGGGGACGAGAAGTAGGAGGAGGAGCACGAGGTGGAAGAAGAAATTTTCACCGCACCTTCACGGAGAAAACGACTTCGCTTAGAACCGCCTCGCCGACGGTTGCGGCGATACGCTCCTCTCTCGGAGCCTTCGAGCGTGCTCTCCCCTCGGGCTACCAACGGAATGTCGCGCAAAATTCGCGAAATTCACGGCGTAGTCGCGAAACGACGTGCAACGAACGATGCGTCGTACGGCGGCACGTCGTTTCGAGATCGAAGCATATCGATGGCGCGGCCCGTTTACCCGATACCGAATAAAAATGTTCGCGGTGAATTTTCTTCGGCTGCTTGCGGTATGGAAGGTGGCGCGCGGCGCCGTTGTCTGCTGACGCTCGTTGCTGGCTCGACGAACAGAACCGAGGCCTTCGCTCGCTCTTGCGCTGCGAGCACTGTACAGGCTGACAGTCAGTGGCGGGTTTCGAAGCTAACGGCGTTGGCCAGACTCCCTCGTATACTCCGGGGCCCCGGTGTCTCAGTTCCCCGTTTCACAACCTCCAACCGGAGTTCGGCATATTTACGAATAACGAAATACGTTCTAACAAATCGCATTTTATTCTTCTTATCAACATTTTCCTTTTTAATAAATTTCTTTTTAAAATAACAAACGACTTTTTATCCAAATAATCTTTTAATAAAAATTCACCTGCATAACTTCTTTATGAAATAATGAATAATTATTGATTTGAATAATTATGGAATGAAAACTTTATAGTTCAATCATCTTTTTTTTTTAAATGATTTTTTATTTAAATTATCTTCTGATGAAAATTCTTCTAGACTTCTTTATGAAATAACGAATAATTATTGATTTGAAAAATTATCAAATAAAAATTTTATAGTGTAATCAACTTTTTTTTTTAAAGAATGATTTTTTTATACAAATAACCTTTCAATAAAAATTCTCCTGTATAACTTCTTTATAAAATAACAAATAATTATTGATTTAAATAATCTTTGACTATAAATTTTGCAATGTATTAAAATTGTTTATAATTACTAATGAATTTTTTTTAAATAATCTCTGAATAGAAATTTTTCAGTATAAAAATTTATCCCAAAAAACGAGGGATCTTTTTATTTCAATAACCTTTGAATAAAAATTTTCCAGTATAATGAACTTGTTCAAAATAACAAATAACCTTTTGTGTAAATAATTTCTGAATAGGAACTGCAAATAATTTTTGACCTGAAAAAGCTTCAAATAAAATTTGCGAATGTAACAATTTTTAAAAGTAATAAATATTTTTTATTTAAATAGTTTTTGGACAGCAATTTCGAAGTCCTTTTTATTGAAGTAAATTTTGATAAAAAATTTCGAATATAATAACCTTTTTTGAAAATAACGAATAGTCTTTTATTTAAATAATCTTTGACTAGAAATTGTATATGTATAATTTTTTACTGGAACAAATTTCTAAAAAAAGTTGTGTGTATAATTATGTTATTTGTTATTACTATTTTAATAAAAACTAGAGGGAAAATATTTTAAATTAACAAACCTTTTGTTATTAACTATTTTGATTATACTAATTTTTTATCAAATCATTTTTATATAGAAATCATAAATAATTATTTATTAAGAATTATAATAATATAATATAAAAAATATCAATTCTAGTATAATGGAATTATTTGTTATAAGAAAAGTATCTACCCGAAAAAAAACAAATTCTTTTAATTGTAAATAAGAATTGTTAATGAATTGAAAGTATTTAAAAATACCAAACAATTATTTCCTTAAACAATCCACAATAAAACAAAATTATTCGAATATAATTCACATTGTTTTATTACTCAATCTTCGAATTCAAAAGGTCAATAAAACAAAATTATGTAAGAATAATTTTTTCCTTCAATAGTCTTCAAATAAAAACTGCCAACAAATCGACTAACAGATAATACTTTATTCTAACAAATTTTTACCCGATTATTCGAACAATACTCGTCTCTGTCTCCGATTCAACACCAGCACGCAATTCCGATTTGATGCAACAATGAAATCGTTGCAACAACGAATACTTAAATTAAAAATTTCCCAGTTTCCATTTTCTTGAAATACAAGCTTCATTGCATTATTTTACACAATCGTCTGCAATTACAGATTTGAAAAGTGTAGTGATGTAACTGAAAGATTTTTATCGATTTTGACACGTTTTGCAAGGTTATAATGAACGTAAAATTAGAACGCGATATTGTTAGATGTTTTTAGTAATGATTTTACATCGTTGGAAGCGTACACTTTCGGCCGCGCAGCTTAACAAACTTGCTGATAAACGGATGTGAGAAGTGCGAGCTTCGCTAAATTGTAGTTCTGTGTAATGTCCGATTGACCAAAGTAATTTTGAGTTTTTGCGCCGGATCGAATTTTTCGAACCGTTCTCCCGTAACTTTCATCGAGCGAGGCCGGCGTGCCGCGCACTTTCTCGCGCAAAATGATTTTTCAGATTAGTGTTAATACAAAGACTTTTACATCAAAAATACATTAACAGTAATAACTTTTTTGACTGATTTGTTCCACACTAAAAGTAGAAATCTGACATAACCTCTATTTATTTTATTTTAATTTAATATTACTAAAGATTTGTTCCATACTAAAAATAGAAATCTGACATAACCTCTTCATATAACATAGATACCTTTATTTATTTTATTTTAATTTAATATTACTATAGAAGTCAACCTATTTTAACATTGCTGTAAACATATTACACTTCTTAAAATTTACGTACGAAAATTTCTAATTTATCTTTTATGGTTATATAACATTTTTGTATCCACAAATATATTTATTTAGTTTTATTAGTCGATTTATTTTAATATCGATAGAGAAACATATTATTTATAAAATATATTTTTAAAAAATTCTAACTCATGATTATGTTATGTAAATTCATTTGACCTATGCTTTATGTCGATTATTTAGGCAATTTTTAATTTTACATATGCATCATAAATCAACACGTATAAATCATTTTGTATAAAGGCTTTGATTACATTTCGAAATCATGCGTTTAAACAATGGGTTTCCTTTCTATGAGCAACATGAATGGCATAAACAATCCGAGGATATTCAATATCAATTATACAGTTAATTTATGTGGCGTGAATAGAGCGCACCCTCGCCGTCGTCCGAAATCCACCACCGTTCGAATGTCAACAATATGCTGTTCGCTTTTCCATGTACAATGGCGTTTAAAAATAATTTATCGAATTTCGAAATCCCATCGGTCGCGTAGTAAATCATCGAAAACGCGGGACTATTTTAATTTGCCCGTATCGAAACAATTTGCCTAACGCTCTAATGGATTCGTACTGTCGAGTGGCAGAAAAAAAATCATTCGATCAAGCATCTAAATCATCCACACGCAGCATCGAAATTCATAAAACTCGCGGCTCTAAATACGCGATAAACGCTTTACATTGACTACGTACAAAAATAAAGTCTCGAAACTTTCTTCGCGAACATTAAAGATACCCGCCACGTTCCCGTTATTACACTTTAACAGATCTCCAGCTCGACATTTTTACATTCCGACCGTTTTTCTTGCATGAAAATTAGAAAATATTGACACACGTCTACTGCCAATCGTACAGCGCAAATCCTTGTGCATAACGTACGAGTTATATAATGATCAACGAGAACGTAAAAATTTCTCGATACACTTTTATACATCTTGTCGACGGTAATAGATAGCAAGTTTATTCCGTGGAATTTTGTTGCGAAAATTGCAGAGAGGGTAAATTTTTAGTGGAACGCCGTCGACGAGGGGTTTGAAGATAGACACGAGAGCGAGGGAGGGGCCCCGAACGTCGATGGTACGGTCCTGCGTGCCGTGCCGTCGTGCTAGAGTGCAGGTGGGCCGAGGTCCGACGGAAACGGCCGAGCGCGCGCTCGGGGGAAAACCGAGCGGCGGCACTCGACGAGTACTGTTGTCAGAGTATTCAGTAATGCTTTGCATGGCCAGCCAGCCGTTAGTGGGCTTGTCGGTGAGAGTCGTGTCGTTCACTCGAAGTGATCGTGTGGTGTTACCCGACGAGCCAGCCAGGCAGTATCCCGTAACTCGAGTTGTACGAGCAAAACGGAACGACGAGTCGATCCGGCACTGTGAGTGTATTTCGTGAGACTGTGAAACGGAAAACGAACAGAGCGTTTTTACGGAGCGTACACCGACGGTGTGGAGCTTCGATTTCACGTACTGTTTCTTCACTGAAAACAAAAAACCATCGCGCTACACTGTGTATGGTACACGAGCGAACCAAGATGCTGTCGTCAGTGCCAGCGAAATAATAATGTGGTGCGACGTTGGTCAGGTGAGTGAAGTGCTACCGTCGGTTCTTTTTATTTTTCCTCCGCGCTTTTCTTTCTTTCCCCGTTGCGAAAACTGTGCTCCAACGTTCCTGTACGGCCAGCCCGAGAGAGCGTTACGTGAACACACCGTGGCTACGAGACGGTGTGTTTCAGTCTGTGAATTTCGAAAATTCCCAATCATACGAATCGTGCGTACGGTTAAGTGTCCGAGTGTGTGATTTTCTTTCACCGTCGACGGATCCTACGTTTCGCTCTTGGCCGCAGAGAAGAACTCGTAGTTCGCAATCGCGTAACGCCTTGAAAGGCTGGCGCACACGAACGATGCTTGCAAATCTGCCTCTACGATCTCCTAACCAACGATATATAACGATCGTGTAACTAAAAATCGACAGGTAAATCGCGTTTCCGAGTATACGGCCGACGTCCGTCGACCACGGGCTCGACTGCAAAATATCCCCGCAAAAATCCATAAAGCTCGTTGCTTCGTTTCGTTAGATCGTTCATCGTAGTCCACCGACGAATCGCTAGAAACGCATAACGGTTAACTCGTCCACGAAAAGCATCTCGTTGTCGACGTTGTTTTCGAGTCCCGCTAAAAAGCGATACGACGACGGATCGACGTTGTGCCGAAGTGTCAGATTTGACGCGTGGTAACCTCGTGTTCAGTAGTTTGAATTCGAAGCGATCCCGCGTTTCCTTGGGCTTGGGGACGGGCGCCGCGGGGCGGGAGGGAGGGCAGCAGCAGCAGCAGCACCAAAGAGGTGGAGGAGGAGGAGGAGGTAGGACGGTGGCCGCGGATGGGTGGCGGTGTTGGAGGAGCGAGAGGGCGATCGAGGTGGCTGTGGTAACGACGGTGGGTCGTGGGTCGCCCGTTGGGGGAACGAGAGAAAGAAACGACGATAGAGAAGGAATAAGAGCACCAAGGAGAGACGTATATATACGCGACGTGGGATAAAGATGGAGTGCACGACCAAGAGAGAGAACGAGATAGAGAAAGGTGACCGGAGGCTCCGCGGCTGCCTCTTCTTTACTTGGCCAGCGATGTGGAGGAAACCTAGCGTCGCCTCTGCGTTGCCCGATCAGGGGGGTAAAGGGAACGACGCTCGCTAAGCGACCGTGGTGGGGGGAGAGGGGCACGGTTATGACCAACCATCAAGGGGGCAGCGTCGTCATGGTTACCGCGACGACAACAACCCGTACTGTTCTAAGGGATGTTTTTAAAAGCATATATTTACCTTTGCTCTTTTTCCTCGCGATCGCGTGGATGCGATAAGAAGGATTTTTCTTTCTTCTGTACGTTACGTACGTTCGATGGCCCCGTTTCTGTACATCGAGTTTCTCGTGACCATTCCTTTTTTTTATATTCCTCGAATATTGTGCAGGAAATTTTAATCGTTAATAACGTTTTATTTGGAAAGTGTCCTTCCCGTTTATCGGGTATGTCAGTGAAACTAGATGAAGTATGTAGTCCCGACACCCTTATCGTTTAATTTTACCGCAGAAAATACGTCACTAACCTCAGAAACTCTACTGGTGGATCATGGTGTATTTTTAGACCTTTCGACGACGTATTCCTCTTGTCATCGCTCGGCTTTCGCTTTGAAATTGAAGTTCGATCGGAGTTTTAAAATTTGGTATCCGTTATTGAAATATGTGTGCAGTTGCGTACGATATGGTAAATTTTTGTACAAATTTAGTGGTGATTCGTGAGAGTTCCGACAACAAAATGGTGCGAACGCGTCCGACGGAAGGAGTGACGCGCAGCCTCTGCTAACGAATCGATGATCTCATGTCGGTTTTTTCGCATACACCTCGCGTATTTTTGCTACTCCCGTTGATTTCTAATCGTGGGAGAAGTAATTTTCCCGTAGAAAAGGGTGGAAGTATCTGTACTAGTGACAGATAGTGCTTGGTACTGTTACATAAGTGGGATATTTTCTTGCGATACGGTCGGCCGATCGATCGGCTACAACGAATGCGTAATCTCGTTGGTGGACGTAGTCGAGAAACTAATCAATTATTTTTGCAAGAAGTTTATAACAAGAGGTGGAGGAGGAGGAGGAGGTAGGACGGTGGCCGCGGATGGGTGGCGGTGTTGGAGGAGCGAGAGGGCGATCGAGGTGGCTGTGGTAACGACGGTGGGTCGTGGGTCGCCCGTTGGGGGAACGAGAGAAAGAAACGACGATAGAGAAGGAATAAGAGCACCAAGGAGAGACGTATATATACGCGACGTGGGATAAAGATGGAGTGCACGACCAAGAGAGAGAACGAGATAGAGAAAGGTGACCGGAGGCTCCGCGGCTGCCTCTTCTTTACTTGGCCAGCGATGTGGAGGAAACCTAGCGTCGCCTCTGCGTTGCCCGATCAGGGGGGTAAAGGGAACGACGCTCGCTAAGCGACCGTGGTGGGGGGAGAGGGGCACGGTTATGACCAACCATCAAGGGGGCAGCGTCGTCATGGTTACCGCGACGACAACAACCCGTACTGTTCTAAGGGATGTTTTTAAAAGCATATATTTACCTTTGCTCTTTTTCCTCGCGATCGCGTGGATGCGATAAGAAGGATTTTTCTTTCTTCTGTACGTTACGTACGTTCGATGGCCCCGTTTCTGTACATCGAGTTTCTCGTGACCATTCCTTTTTTTTATATTCCTCGAATATTGTGCAGGAAATTTTAATCGTTAATAACGTTTTATTTGGAAAGTGTCCTTCCCGTTTATCGGGTATGTCAGTGAAACTAGATGAAGTATGTAGTCCCGACACCCTTATCGTTTAATTTTACCGCAGAAAATACGTCACTAACCTCAGAAACTCTACTGGTGGATCATGGTGTATTTTTAGACCTTTCGACGACGTATTCCTCTTGTCATCGCTCGGCTTTCGCTTTGAAATTGAAGTTCGATCGGAGTTTTAAAATTTGGTATCCGTTATTGAAATATGTGTGCAGTTGCGTACGATATGGTAAATTTTTGTACAAATTTAGTGGTGATTCGTGAGAGTTCCGACAACAAAATGGTGCGAACGCGTCCGACGGAAGGAGTGACGCGCAGCCTCTGCTAACGAATCGATGATCTCATGTCGGTTTTTTCGCATACACCTCGCGTATTTTTGCTACTCCCGTTGATTTCTAATCGTGGGAGAAGTAATTTTCCCGTAGAAAAGGGTGGAAGTATCTGTACTAGTGACAGATAGTGCTTGGTACTGTTACATAAGTGGGATATTTTCTTGCGATACGGTCGGCCGATCGATCGGCTACAACGAATGCGTAATCTCGTTGGTGGACGTAGTCGAGAAACTAATCAATTATTTTTGCAAGAAGTTTATAACAAAAGTTCTTCCTAGATGAATCTTATGGATGTTTGAAAATCGGTGATCGCTTCAGAATATGAACAATTTTCTGTACATAAGAACCTGTACAGAATGTCAGTTTAAAGATTGACGGTGACACGTTTTTGTGATTTTCATGCTTAAACCTTTCACTACAAGGACAATGAAATGTGTACGTTTAAACTTTTTTTAATTGAACGACAAATCACCACATATGTAACTGTTATATTTTTTTAATGTTATTAATCCTTTAACATTTTTTTTATTATTATTGTTTTAACATTTTTCTGTTATTCTTGTTTTAACATTTTTTTATATTATTAATATTTTAACATTTTTTTATATTATCAATGTTTTAACATTTTGTTATATTATCAATGTTGTAACTTTCTTTTTACTGTTATCAATGTTTTAAAATTAATGAATTATAATTTTTTTATGCTGCACACATTTTTTATAATCGACTTGATATAAGTAAAATATAATTTAAAAATCCCTGGAAGTATCAGCCGCTGACTGGTTTATTTCAAAATTATAATTAAATGTAAAAGTTCTATATAAAATTTGAAGAAGTAAATTATTTTATTTGTATCTTTATATTAACACTTTGTCAGCTTTGTGAGTATCTCATCTTTGTCTGTTTCATAAAATCTTAACCGCAACATAACTAGAAATTTTTCTGGTTATCTTGAATAAAATTTTCAAACATAATTTTCTAAATTTCCCGTCAAGTATAAAGAAAACCTTCATAAATCTTAAGAAAATATATAAAGTGTCTTCACACAAACTTTGACTATTAAAAATAAAAATGTCAGATGATGAAAATTTTGATGATGATTTAAATCAGTAAGTTCATTGACGTAGCTTGTAAGTTCATTTTGCTACAAAAATCTCGATTAAAACGGAAAATAATATCGTTGTAAAATTACTTCAAAATTTATAATACTTCTTAATTACCCTCTCAAGCGCGTTAACAAGTTTCACATAGTCTTCAAATAAAACAAGTATATACCGATCAGCAGATGACTTAACAGCTGTTATGTGAATCCACATTGCCAAGCTTTCTCCGCACATCTCAAGTAGACATGGGATCAAGTTCAACATGCACTCATAAATTCGAGTCAATCCCCATGGCAAAGTTTCCTTTCATGACATCCGAATGCTATTTATAAGAGGTGTCTCACTTTATGTAGCTTCGTAAACTACTAGAATTATGTAAGCTAATTTCGAACCTCAGGAATAAACTTGTGAAGTTTATGAATTTGCTATTATTTCATTTTCTCTTACAGGAGTGTTTATTAAAATTTAACGAATCGTCTTAACCTTTGCTAAATGTAGTCAAATTGTGGTCAAAACTTTGTAAGACATTTTAGGAACTAAATAAATGAACATTGTTTAGTAAGTAAATAAATGAACCATTGTTACTCATTGTTTAATGTTTAGTTAAATGTGAATATCGTGAACAGAAGAAATATTTAGAGCCATTTAAAAATAATTAGAAAAGACTTTTAGTATATGTACTTTAAGATGAAATTATTAAATATTGAAATATGAAATGGTTTTAACTTTCATTACGTTACCTTTTACATTATTAGAAAATAATTTTGCATATTTGCAGAACAAATTATGGAACTTCCAGATTATTAAAATGCAAGCTTGCCTTTGGTAATTTCTTT